TAATACCTTGTGTAATACCATTCAGCCATCTTTTTTTTTGGAGGGGGGGGCCTTGACTTTTGGAATCTTAGTTCCCCAACCAAGGGTCCTACCCCAGCCCCCTGCAGTGGAAGCATGGAGTCCTTACCAGTGGACCACCAGGGAAGTCCCCAACAAATATCTTTTTTTTTTAATTGCATCAGTCTTAGTTGCAGCAAGAAGGCTCTTAATTGTGGAGCGGGGGCTCTAGAGTACCTAGGCTTAGGAGATGGGGGAAGGAATGACCCCAAATGGAGAGGGAGTTTCCCTTTTCGGAGATAAAAATGTTTTGCAGCTAGATAGAGTTGAGGGTCACACAACACTGCAAGTGTACTAAATGCATGGTAGACTTTAAAATTGTTGTTTAGTCACTGAGTTGTGTCTGACTCTTTGTGACACTATGCGCTGTAGCCCGCTAGGTTCCTCTGTGCATGGAATTTCCCAGGTAAGAACAGTGGAGTGGGTTGCCATTTCCTTCTCCAGGGTATTTTCCTGACCCAGGGGTCAAACCTGGGTCTCCTGAATTGACAGACGGATTCTTTTATCGCTGAGCCACCAGAGAAGCCCAGACTTTAAAATAGCTAATGGCTAATTTAACGCTATGTGAGTTTCCCTCAGCGAAAAAAAGAAATAGTGAGAGCTGGAGAGATATATATAGATGCGCACACACACACCCTGGACCCCCTCTCTATCTTCACCACTGCAGCCTCCATCCCACTCCATCCCTTCGCTTCTCAGGCCCATCAGAATTCCCCAAGTGCCAGGACCCAGGCCCATTGACCATGTTCTCCTCCTTGTCGGTCCGCCCTCAACTTCCCTCCTCCCTTTTCAACCTGGACCCTCCCTGGAGTATCCTGAAAGTGACTCGCTGGGCTTGTTGCCCACAGGACTGGATGGGTAACTGGCAGCACATGGTGACCCTGCTCAAGAGAACAAAGGCTGCTGAAATCCCGGCCTGCTCATGCGAGACAGGTGTTTGTAACCATGGCTGCCCCAGTGACAAAGCTGGCCCTTGGACAGCAAAGCCACTTGCCCACAGTCACTCAGCAGGCTCCGGTGGCCAGGAGTCACCCACCGCAGCCTGCCCATTCCTGGCCCTCCGTTCCCTTGGTGGCTCTGATGAACCAGGCCTCCGTGGCGTTCATGCCCTTGTGGGGTCACCACCTCTGCCCCTGACACACATCTAGGCTGACCTGAAACTCCACTGAATCAGCAGAACAGGGAGGAAGTGATGCTGGCCCAGGTCTAGGTCTGAGTGTTAGAAGGTCTGGGGGCTTCAGCTCTCTACTTTGGGGGAACCCCAAGTTGTCAGAAAAGGACTTCGCTCATCCCCCTTGGGTGACCACACAGAAGGGCCAACTGGAGAAGCCACGCAGAGGGAGAGGCCCAGCTGCCCCAGGCAGCCCCACCCACGTGTGCACCAGACATGACATCCAGCCACTCCAGCCCCGAGATGCCAGCAGCCACCACTCATGGGAAAATAGACACACCAGCCAGGTGAGAGAGTATACCAGTGGGAGTTTGGGGCCAGTGGGTACAGACTGGTTTGTGCCACTGTTCACTGAAAACCCAGCTGACACCCGAGGAAGATCCAGACCTTAGACCTCATCAGCTCAGGTGGCATCTGACACTAGCCTTGCATCCCCTGACCTGCCTCCATGGCCCACTCTGGCTGGCCACACCTGAACAAAAATGAAGGTTGGAAAAAAAATCTTCAAAAAAAGAAAATGCTACTCTCTGGCATAACTCCTTCCTGACAACCAGAGGCCCATCAACTGGAACCAGTTCGGCAGCATGAAACTTGGGCCCAGCTTGGGGGCTGGGGGTGCCCAGCGGGCACCAAGGGAAGGCCTTGTACCCAGGAGGCTGGGCACCCTCTGCTCCACTGTTGGTCAAGGCCCCCTATCCTGGCTGCAGCCCACCTACCAAGCCCCCACAGCTGCCCAACAGAGAACTCGAGCCCCCAACACGCTGCCTGAAGCCCAGACTTCAAATCCCATGGGCAACTGTCCAGTGGTCTAGTGGTTAAGACTCCACACTTTCACTAACAAGGGTGCAGGTTCAATCCCTGGTCAGGGAACTAAGATCCCCCAACCCTCGCTCACAGACAAAACCAAACAAAAACAACCCATCTCCTATGGGAGCAGGGTCCCAAAGCTGAACTTTCATACCCCCAGGAAACTCTGTGCTCTCCCAGCATCTTGTCATCAGGGGCCAGCTCTCCGCCTGCTGGATGTCCGAGACCCAAGACACTGTGTGGGTACCTGGGTGCTTCCTCAGGCTACCAGGGCCCCAGCCACCCCATAAGGAGATGAAAATGAGAACCAGATGAGGTCTGTCCTCATCACCCCGCAGCTAGGGTATATTAACCACATTTTCTGTATTCTTTGTTTTTTGGCTGCACCACACAGCCTGAGGGATTAGTTCCCTGACTAGGATTTGAACCCACAGCCCCAGCAATGAAAGCTCAGAGTTGTAACCACTGGACTGCCAGGGAATTCCCCCTTTCTATAGTCTCAACACCCTGGCAGCTGGGGCCTCACTGCCCAGGAACAGACTGTCCCTCAAGGAGTAAGCGAGTTATTGGAGATAACAAGTCACCAGTGACTTGTGCCTCTCATGTGTATACCAACCAACCCAGAGCCACCATCCCCCTGCCCTGCTCATCCCTAGGGCCAGTGCAGTGTGACTGCCTGACAGTAAGCTTTTCTCTTTTGGCCACGCCACTCAGCATGCAGAATCTTAGTTTCCCAACCAGGGATCGAACCCATGCCCCTGTATTGGAAGCCTGGAGCCTTAACCACTGGAGGTCCCTGACATTAAGCTTTTGATTGCTGATGTCCATTGTGAATGTTGTGAACAAACGCATCACCAGCTGCACAACACAGCTACTAGCAATACAACCTACCTGCAGCCATGAAGGTGCCCATTTTAGAAACCCTGGGGAACCTGGGTAACTGATAACTTAGGTGATCAGTTATCACCTGATTTCCTTCTGGGACACTAATTCCAGCTCTTGTGTTCTAATCAAGAGTGAACTTGAGACTCCTGATCCTCAGACCCTAATACAGGCAGAGCCTTAGGTCTGCTTTCCCTCTCTCTCTCCCCCAAGGATCTTTTTTAAAAAAATTTTTTTATTTGTTGCTGTTGTTCAGTTGCTCAATTGTGTCCAACTCTTTGCAATCCCATGGACTGCAGCACACCAGGCTTCCCTGTCCATCATCTGCCAGAGTTTGCTCAAACTTGTGTCCATTGAGTCAGTGATGCCATCCAACCATCTTGCCCTCTGTCATCCCCCTCTCCTCCTGCCCGCAATCTTTCCTAGCATTAGGGTCTTTTCCAATGAGTCATCTCTTCACATCAGGTGGCCAAAGGATTAGAGCTTCAGCTTCAGTGTCAGTGCTTCCATTAATTTTATTTAATTTGGCTGCTTTGGGTCTTCACTGCTGCACGCCAGCTTTCTCTAGTTGCAGTAAGCGGGAGCTACTCTCTAGTTGCTATGTGAGGGCTTCTCATTGAGGTGGCTTATCTTGTTGCGGAGCACAGGCTCTAGGACATGGGCTCAGTAGTTGCAGTGCCTGGGCTCAGCTGTACCAAAGCATGTGGAATCTTCCCAGAGCCTGGATCGAACCCATGTCCCCTATACTGGCAGGCAGATTCCTAACCACTGGACAACCAGGGAAGTCCTCTCCACGTTGATCTCTCTCGTGTACCCTCCAGGACCTGCAGGACAAATCTTGTCCCTCAAAGTTCCTTGATGGCCAGGACTTCCCCAGTGGTCCAGTACTTAAGATTCTGCGCTTCTAGTCCAGGGGTCATGCGTTCGATTCCTTGTCGGGCAAGTTCTGCATCATGCACAGTGCAGCCATATGGTTTTTGCTGAAGTATGTCCTGCACTGGTCCATCCACCACACTGGCTCTGGTTGGGGAGCATCTGTCGGGGTCTTGCTGTAACAGGGACCCAGCGAGTGCCCTGGGTGCTGTTCTCGGACAGCCTCACTGTTGACAGGCTGAGACATTTGTAACAGTCAGTGCCGACACCCCAGCTGCGCCTGTCGTTCAGGTGCTCAGTCGTGTCCAACTCTGCGACCCCATGGACTGCAGCCCACCAGGCTTCCCTGTCCTCCACTGTCTCCAGAGCTTGCTCGAATTCACGTCCACTGAGTCACTGATGCTCTCTAACCATCTCATCCTCTGCTGCCTCCTTCTCCTTTTGCCCTCAGCCTTTCCCAGCATCAGTGTCTTTCCCAGTGAGTCGGCTCTTCGTGCCAGGTGGCCAAAAGATTGAAGCTTTAGTTTCAGTATCAGTCTTTTCAGGCCTTAGCATGCCTGAATAATAATAAAACCTACATTTTGAAACAAGGTGGAGACCAATTGGGGGACATCCAGCTTCTGTCTCAAAGAGAGGAAACCAAAACGGATGGAGGCCCTCCCAGCCAGCACTCCAGGAGGCACTGCCCAAGATCTGCTCCTCTCTGGGAATGCAAACTGTTCCCATCCCCACCGTCCTCTGTTCTGATTCCAGGAGGCAGAGTGGCCAAGTGGGTGCCCAGGGCTGGGTCCCTGATTCCCACCCTTGATAGGCAGGCGCTCCCCCACAGAGAAGGGGCTGCACAGAGCCCCCAGGCCACCCAGGCAGAGGGAGACAGAGGCCCAAAGGCAGGCAGAGGATGTGAACTAGCTTTAATCACCACTCTCAAACAGAGGTAGCAATAGTATTTGAGTAAGGGGGCCGCCCCAGGAGTGATCTGGGGCCAGCCCCTCAGCTCCGGCTGTGGCATGTTCCCCATCCAGGCTCCTCGTGTCCAGGGGAGGGTCCGGGCAACCTCAGCCTCCAGGGTCACATATGCAGGAGCACGGGTGCTTGGCGCTGTGAGGACAGAAGCAGCCAGGTCTGGGGGCTGATGTGGTAGCAGCCACGTGTGGGTCCCCTCTACCTGCCATACTCGGGGGATGTGTGATGTGGGGGTGAGAGCGCCTGCTCAGAGCACCGAGGTCTTCCTCTCTGGCTGCAGTGACCTCTTCACGGACACCAGCAGCCGCAGCGGGGCCAGGCATCCCTGGGCACAGAGCCGTGACAATGCGAAGAGAATGCCAGCAGCCAGACTGACACTGAGTACCGCTGCGGGGAAAGAGCGAGGGGCGTGGGTGAGGGGTGGTGGAGGCCCCACACCCACCCAGCTCCTGGCACACCGGAAAGGGGAGTATGTGGCATGTCTGCTCTCCAGGGCAGCTTCCAGGTGCGGGCATGGGCGTGGGGGCCGGAGCTGTCCATATTACCTACAGCTGCGATAATCCCATAGGCACTTCGGTTTCCAGACTGAACGGAGTCCTGGTCCTCGATGGCGGTGACTGTGGCATTCCTGGGATAAGTGACACTCTCCAGGGTCACAGGCGTCCCCATGGACGTGGCGCTCCCCTCCTGGTGGGTCTTGGTTCCTGCAACAAGTCCAGGCATTCAGCAGCTGGGGAGGGAGCCCTGGGGCTGGAGGGATGAGTGGGTGTCCCAGTGCCCCGGGGTGGGGGACCCTGGGGCTCACCCTCCGGCCCCAGACTGAGTGAGCAAAGCTGGTGAGCACTGCTGCCCGAGTGCCCTCCCGCATTCCCGTGGGTATGCGGGCTCAGGCAGACACACATGTGCACGCTCCCAGCCTCGTCACACGCTGGAAGGTGTCAGGTGTCCTGGTCTGCTGGCCCAGCCTCCCTGCCCCCACAGGCACACACCGCAGCCAAGCTCGTCGCTGTAGTCGGAACAGTCTGGGTGGCCATCGCAGAGCCACGTGCTTGGGATACACAGACCGTCCAGCGTGCAGCACAGCTCGCCTTCAGGACAGGGCTGGGGCCCACAGTTGAGACGATTCCTGTTGCGGTCAGGGCAGTCATCCATGATGTCACAAGGGGAGCGGCTGCCAATGGGTACCTCAGTACCTGGGGATACAGGGTGAGTCAGGTTCCAAACACCCACCCAAGAGGGCATGGGTACTGCCCACCACCCACCCTGCTGCGAGCCCCACCTTCCTGGGAATGACTGACCCTATAAGGTCCACCCATCCCAAGGGCTCTGCCCCCTGCTTCTGTTCCCCCCACCTTCCAACCAAGACCCCACTAACTTGCTGCCCTGCAAACCCATCTTTTAACCCAAAGATCCAGCCCGCCCTCAAGGCCCCGCCCACCCCAGAGTTCCCAGCCTGAAACCCACACCCCTTCCACAAGCACCTCCTCCCATGGCCCTGAAAAGCCCCACCCCCGGGGCATGGCCACTCACCACACTCTTCTTCATCACTGCCATCAAGGCAGTCCTGGTCAACATCACAACGCCAGATGAGGGGCACGCAACGGCCATCGCTCCGGCACTGGAAGTTGGTGGGCGGGCACGAGCCTGCGCTAGGGCCTGAGGGACACATACAAGTGGGAGGTCTGGACCCTCAGCTAGGAGGACAGTGTCACAAGCTGCAACTACCAGGAGAAAGCCAGGTCCCAGGAACTACACTGGTGGTCACCATCTTTACTAAGGATGCACTGTGTGGGGGGCTTGGAGCCCAGCAGTTCACAGCCTCACCAAGAGCCCTACTGGTCAGATTCTACAGCCATGCCCATTCTACAGAAGACACATAGGAGAGGAAAGGCCTGAGGCTACAAGCTAGTGGCAGAGTCAGGGTTCAGACCCAGGTCTCACTGATCCTGGGGTCTTTACCAGGCTCCAAATGGCCAGATGGTCTCCCCAAGGGTCTCCCCAAGCTTGTGGTTAAACAGACTAGGAGAGGGGCCATCTCTGAACCTGGCCTGGCTCAGGCCCACCATCAGGGTCAACAAGGTCTGTTATGTCCCAGCTATCCTTAGCAAAGGAGAAGAATCCTGAGAGTCCTTTGGGCAACAAGGAGATCAAACCAGTCAATCCTAAAGGAAATCAACCCTGAATATTCATTGGAAGGACTGATGCTGAAGCTGAAGCTTCAATCCTTTGGCCACCTGATGTGAAGAGTCAACTCACTGGAAAAGACCCTAATACTGGGAAAGATTGAGGGCAGGAGGAGAAGGAGATGACAGAGGATGAGATGGTTGAATGGCATCATTGATTCAATGGATACGGGTTTGAGCAAACTCCAAGAGATGATGGACAGAGAAGCCTGGTGTGCTGCAGTCCATGAGGCTGCAAAGAGTCGGACTGAGTGACTCAACAACAGCAACTTAGCAAAGGGAAAACTGAGGCCTTGGATAAAGGACCTGCTTGGCTTGTTGACCCACCCACTGAATTCCTCCCAGAACTTCTAACCACTTTCTCCATCCTGACTGTGCCACCTCTTCTCCTGGTTCCCCAACCCCATCTCCCTCAGACACCAGAGACCTCTCAGAGTCACACCATTAGGCCACCCTCCCTTGCCTCCCCTTTGCTCAAAACCATCCCTTGTTCCCTTGACCCTCTCACAGCCTATATCCTGTGTGTGGCCGGCAAGTCCTGACTAGCCCTGAACCCTTCCTGGAACTTGCCTCCTCCCACTTTCCCCCTCTTCATCAAGCTCCCTCTGGCCTGGCCACCATGCTGTGCGGCAAGAGGCCTGGCCCATTTCCACCTCAGAGCTTTTGCCCATGCCATTCCCGGGCCCAGTACTCCCTCTCCTCCCTCCTCTCTGCACTTCCATGATTTCCTCCTCAGACTTCACGTCTCCAGCTTATTTCCTGGGAGGGGTCTCAGGTCCCTCTCAGAGACCCCTGAAGCCCAGCGTCTTAGAACAATGGCCCTTGAACTGGTACCTGTGTAAAGTGGACACTTAGCGATGGTCAAGGCCATGACCTTTTGACTGTAAACCCAGGGTCGTGCCTGATAATAAATGGACACAGCTCACACAAGGGTCTGGGCTGAGTCCAGCTGAGATATGAGCCTTCCGGGACCCTGAGCAGGAGGGACACAGAAGGGCCTAGAAGCTGGGCCAGCAGACTGGAGTCTGAGGGACGGAGGAAGGGAGTGGCCTTTATGGCTTCCTCCTGGGTGCAGGAGGGCGGGTGGCAAATACCTGGCTTGGCCCCAGCCTAGCTCTGTTCCATTTGATTCTGGTCCTCTTGCCTCTTCCACCTCTGCTCACAGGGGCAAGGCTGAGTAAAGCCCCACTCCAGGCCCCCACCCTCCACAGCCAGCGGTCTGCAAGCTGGCCCCCAGGCCAATGTACCTGTGGGCCCCACAGTCCCGGCGCTCTGTGGAATGGCCTAGAACCCACTTCTTTCCCTGCTGTGGGGATCCGAAAGCCTACAGCTCCCTCCCCAAGTCTTGCCCCTCCATAGCAACCTCTGACCTCCCTCCCTGGAGTCAGGGAGTGTGTGTGTGTGTCCTCTAGAGTGGGCAGCAGAGCAGAGCCAACCGGGCCTTGGGAGAGATCAGTGACTGCCCCTCCCAGCCTGCTTCCCCACCTGGGAAAGGGCCTCGCTAGGAGTCCCTACCCCAAGGTGCTGAAGGGAAGCGACTGCTTGGGTGTAAAGAGCCTGAGCTTGGGTAATGTCTTGATCCTTGAAGGAAGGAGGAACACTTTGCTTGAAAAGGCAGGAGTGAGAAGGGGAACCAGATAAGCCAGGACCCGCGGGTGTGTGAATCTGAGTCTACAGCTGACAGTCAGGGGCACCTGTGTGCACAGGGAGGTCATTCTAACCTGCCCCACCGCCTCTGGGAACCTCTAAGAGGGCCACCATTACTGAGGCCGGGGCAAACATGTCCTAGGGCCTGGGGTGCCAGGGAAGGAGATCTTTCTTTCCCTAAGGCCAGAGAAAGAAGGTGCAGAGGTTGAGAGGGCGGGAGATGGGCAGCAGGCGCCAGATGACCAGCCGCGTTAAGGCTGGAGGTCGGACAACCAGAGTCTCTAAGGAACTTTCCTGCCTGTGCTGGGGTGAAGGGCAGCTTGGAGGTGACAATGGGGCACGACAAAGCAGAGCAGGTGCCGGGTGTGCGAGGGCCGAAGCAGGCCAGTTAAAGGCAGACACAGCAACCCGGGCGCAGGGTCTACCACTAGGGAAGGCTCTTTCAGGGGCTAGGCTCCCCTAGAACCATGTGCGGGGGGAGTGTCCTGGACAGACTTGCGGCGTAGCCAATGGTGAGGCGCTGCTGGCGGGCGAGGGCGGAGCTAGACTGCAGGGGTAGAGGGCTCGCGGGCAGCAAGTTCACTCACCTGGGTCCTGGGTAGAGGACCAGGTCTGGATCGGAGTCGAGGCGGTCTCCAGGCACAGCCCGAAGCCGAGCAGTACCCGCAGCCCCAGGCCTAGGGCCGCAGCACGCCGCGCTAGACTCCGAGCCACCCAACCGTTCATCGTACCACCCCCGCCCCGCGCCGGCTGGGTCCACGCGCACTCCCGGCCTCTCCCATCCTCGCGCACGCCTGCGCACATACCCGGGGGGCGGGGCCGACACCCGGGGCGGGGCCACGGCCAGAGATCCCGCGGCAGCCCCGGGCTTTGAGTACCGTAAGTGTCTGAATACCCGGGTTCCCCAGTCTCAGGGTCTTCCCTTCTTTTCCCAGTGACAGGCATATTGAAAGGTACGGGTCCTATTTGAAATTAGAAACCTCTGGAGATACAAATGAACTCGTACTGACAAGTATTGTCATCTTACGATATTTAACGTTCTACATGCACCAAATGTTCTGCCTAATTATTTTAGGAATGCCTCATCCTCTCCCTGCTCCTGCTTCTTTCATGCGCCCGAGCTTATTATATATTTACTAAAGTACTTTGGCAGGAATGCTGTGTTGCTCCTTGTATCCCCAACGCCTGGAACAGAGCCTGATAAATCAACGAAATGTCAGTTCTTGACTTCCATCCTGGGTCCTCTGTCCCTAGTCCCAGGATGTTCTCACTACCTCCTAATCCTCATAGACTTCACAGGGCGGGTCTTATACTTTACTTCGGAAGCAAAACAAGCGAAAGTAGCCTCGGCTTTCTCTTCTCAAGCACACCCCTTAGGCATACAAAACGCAAACTTACAGGTTTTCTACCCAGCTGCTGTGTTTTCTTCTTGACAATAAAAGGTTTTATCCGCAGCTCTGTCCTCAGGAGAAGCAGGACGACTGCACAGCAGGCCCCGAGACAAGTCGCTGTCCTCAGCTGTACACGTTTCCTGTGAAGCAACACCAAGGCGTCCAGATTTTCACAGGACGGGCTCTACCTGCAGGTTGATGACATGCTTACTATTGAAAACATTGGCCATGGGCTTTCCTGGTGGCTTAATGGTAAAGAATCCACCTACCAATTCAGGAGACACAGATTCCATCCCTGATCTGAGAAGATCCCATGTGCCACAGCTACTGAGCCTGTGCTCTAGAGCCCTGGCTCCACAACAGGAGCGATTACCCCAGTGAGAAGCCATGCACCCCCAACTGGAGAAAAGCCCTCCTAGCAACAAAGACCCAGGACAAACAAAAATTAAAATTAATGTCATATAAAATGGTGACTTTTAAAAAAAGTTGGAGATTATAGCCATGTGAGAGTGTGTGTGTGTGTTCAGAATAATCTCCAATTCCCAGGAGAAACTGGGTAAGAGACAAAGATGCAGTGATGCAAAGGCAGATGGGAAGGGGAGGGGAGAAGGAAGTGTCCCGCAGCACCACCTGTGGGGCTTGGCATCCTGGTGAGGTTGGCATCTGGGACCTAGGGAGAAGTGCTGAAGAAGCTGTGGGTTACCCAGCTGACAATGTGTAGTCGTTGAACGCAGACTCCTCAGCAGCTGGGTTCAAGGTCAGCTCTCAGGGAGCCTGAGAGTTCTTGGTCTCACACCTGTTCTTCTTTCACTATGACCTCACAGGGGCTCCAGGTGGCGCTAGTGGTAAAGGACCCACCTCCCACTGGGTTGGGAAGATCCCCTAGAGACGAGAAGGCAACCCACTCCAGTATTCTTGCATGGAAAAAAACCATAGCCTTGACTAGATGGAACTTTGTTGGCAAAGTAATGTCTCTGCTTTTTAATGTGCTGTCTAGGTTGGTCATAACTTTCCTTCCAAGGAGTAAACGACTTTTTATTTCATGGCTGTGGTCACCATCTGCTGTGATTTTGGAGCCCCCCAAAATAAAGTCTGACACTGTTTCTCCATCTATTTACCTGATGCCATGATCTTAGTTTTCTGAATGTTGAGCTTTAGGCCAACTTTTTCACTCTCCTCTTTCACTTTCATCAAGAGGCTCTTTAGTTCTTCTTCACTTTCTACCACAAGGGTGGTCACCTGCATATCTGAGGTTATTGATATTTTCCCCAGCAATCTTGATTCCAGCTTGGGCTTCATCCAGCCCAGCGTCTCTCATTTGTACTCTGCATTTAAGTTAAATAAGCAGAGTGTCAATATACAGCCTTGACGTACTCCTTTTCCTATTTGGAACCAGTCTGTTGTTCCATGTCCAGTTCTAACTGTTGCTTCCTGACCTGCACACACAACACATATCTGGCACACAGGATAAGCTCGAGATTTCAGACCTCTTCCCTCCTGCATTCCCTTGCCAAATTTCAAGTCTAGGTTATAACACATTTTTTTTTTCCTTCTTGGCTTACAAACAACAATTTGTTTTCTCACAATTCTGAGAAGTTCAAGATCATGGTGGCAGTAGATTCATCACCCTCATTGATAACCATCTTTTCACTGCAACCTCACTTGGCAGGAGGCTGGGTCATTAGCATTATTCAGAAACCTTCAACGGTACATCTCACCAGGGTCATTAGAAGCTCTCTGGTGTTACCTCCTCATTACCTCTGCACACTCTGTCCAGTCTTCTCCCTCCTGATCTTTCTAAATTCAATTTCATCCTTTGCTCCAACCAGAATCCCACCTCTTCAGGAAGCCTTCCCAGGGGTTTTCTCCTCCTGATAATCATTTAGCATTTGTACCACTCACTCTTGGAGCATTTATACCTTCTTCTATGACTGTGACCTTTTCCCTCCTTGCTCCAAGCTTCCAGAGGGCGAGGAAGCCAGAGCATTCTCCTGGCACACAGCGGGACTTCACCTACTGACAGGTTTTGGGGGTTCTTCCATGGCAGTCACCACCCTGCCACTCTGGAGGGCACTGTGTGGTCCCTCTTCACGCCTGTGACCAGAAGGTCACTTCCTTTTCGGCTTTCACCCCCTGGTCATTCCTCTGTGAGAAGCAGCCCTTTCCTTTGCTAGGCTGACTCCTCCCCGTACCCCCAGGCCTGCGCAGTCAAGTTTCTGGCTCAGTGAGGCCTTTCCGCAAGGGCCCTGGGTGAAACTTCCTTGTGAGCCACCTCACTGTCCCCCGGGGTCCCTGCTGGTCAAGGACAGATGGGGGCCGCAGTGGGAGGGTTCTGGTGAACATCCACACTAGCAATGGCTGGAAGGGGTAGAGGGGGAGTCACCTCTCAGGAGAGGGAAGTGAGGTTTTGTTTCCCTTTCCACCATTTACAGTCAGTACCCCCTACAACACCCTGGAACCCGTTCCACCGCTGTGAGGGGTGGAGCCAGGCCCTCAAGGAAGGGACGGTGACACCTCTGTGCCCAGTGAGAGTACGTCACCCTAGAAATCCAGAGCCACTCTCCAGCTCTGTTCCGGCATGCTCACAGGGTTCAGAGATTCAGGATACAGCACCAGGAATGCCCTGGCAGTCCAGTGGTTAGAACCTGGCGTTTTCACTGCTGAGGTCTGGGTGCAACTTCTAGTCAGGGAAACTAAGATTCCACAAGATGTGTGGTGTGGCCAGAAAAGAAAAAAAAAAGAGATTTGGCACCAACTTCACCCTGAAGTCTAAGTAAGCCCGTATGTCCTTTCAAAAGTAAAAACAGAAGCAATTCTCGGGAGCACAATATATAGTTTTTATAAACGAGGTCACGTTCTGCCCGGAGGGAATCAAGGAGTCCAAGGAGGAAGCAGCACTCTGGTGGCCTTGAGGGCTCAGCCTGGCGCCTCCAGCCAAAGTCACAGGTAAGGCTCATCCTGGGACAGCTCCCACCTCTTTATGGGAGGAGCCGGCGACACAGCCTTCTTCTCAGAGGCTGCTACAGCTGAGCTGGAAAATGAAGAAAGACTTGAGTCAGCCCCAGATGTCCAGAGCAGTGGGGAGGAAGCTGAGGGAGCACCCCCTGCCCAGGCAGCAACATATCTGCTGAAACCGGAGATGTGGAGGCCAGATTGCAGGGTGTTTCAGAATGCACAGGCCTCTCCAGTGGGGTCCCCCAAAGGGTCAGCTGACCACTTTCTGCCCCCGAGCAGTAAGCCTGTCCTGGCTCCTGGTCTCAGAAATAGTGTGAAATGCTGGACTCTTCCTCCAGCACCCCTTCCCACTGGCCCGTGACTCCCGCTACCCCAGGGCAGGACACTGGCTCCAGAAGGGCCAAGCAACCAGATGACCCATGTCCGCAGCAACTCCTTCCCTTGGATTCTGAGCACCTGCTACATGGCAGGCACTCTATGCAGGAAGCGCTAATGAGACAAGGGCCAGCCACAGTCTAATGGAGCTGAGTTAATACGAAATCAAAAATAAGACCTTTTGGACCAGGGTAAGTCCTAAGGAGACACTGCCAGCACACCCAAGGCAGGGACCCACCCTGCCCCCACCCCACTGAGCCCCTGGGGTCTGCACGCACTGTAAGCAAGACAGAAGCAGCTGGCAGGTGGGCCCACCCATCAGCAGGGGTTCCAGAGCCTCCCCTCCTCCCTTCCTCCACCTGAAGGAAGTGGAAGAGGTAGAAGGCAGCCTCCCTGGGAAATGCAGACATCCTGGGGGCAGGTGAAGAGGTGAGGGGGAGTGGGGCAGCCTGCCACAGTCTGGGGCTGGGCTCTGGTGAATCTGAAGATCGCAAAACGGGCCATTCACTCACTGAGTTCTAACCCACCTGGCAGGCCCGGCCGCATCACTTACTAATCTCATCACACTGCAAGTCCACCAACCCCATCTGACAAAAGCAGCAGCTGAGGCTCAAGAAGGCCAAAAGACCAGTCCAGGACCACAAGGTGAATCAGCTGTAGAGCCCAGATACCACTGGGAGGGACTGGACAAAATGCTGTGAAATTGTGCTTCTGCCGCCCACAATCTGTGTGACCTACGCAGAGCACCTGGCCTGTTTCTTTTTCTCCAACAGAGGTCATCACTGCCTAACTCATGGAATTAAGAGGCAGATGTGCCACTGACTCCATTCTAAGAGCTTACAAATAGTTCATTACGTGAATTAAGCCTCATAACAACTCTGCTATAGACAGAATGTTTGTTTCCGTACAAAATCCATATGTTGAAATCCTATACCCCAGTATGACGGCGTTAGGAGGTGGAGCCTTTGGCTGATGACTAGCTCATGAAGGTGCAGCCCTTGTAAGAGACACTTCAGACCCCTCACCCCTTCCCCCATGTGAGGACATGGCAAAAAGATACCATCTAGAACCCAGGAAAGCGTCCTCACCAGACACTGAAGCTGTAGGGGCCTTTTACTTGGACTTTCTAGCTTCCAGAACCATGAGAACCAGTTTTCTGTTGTTTACAAGCCACCCGGTCTGTGGGATCCTGTCCTAGCAGAAATCTCCGAAGTAAACACCACTACTCCTCCTATTTAATTAAGAGACACTGCCTGAGGCCAAGGACCAAAGTGGGTTTTGAGAGGCCTGAGGTTTACATAATTCTCTCTCTAAAAGGAGATAAAATTACAAAAACAACAATGCCTGGGCTTCTTCCAAAGCCCTTGAAGGCCCCATGAAGCTTCCTCTGCTTTGCAGGAAACCCACCCCAGGTTGGGTGGGGATTCATTTGCTCCTCAGATGAAAGGCCCCCGGTAGGACATTTCCTGCCACAGCTGCCGCTAGACAGACTTGGGACCTTGAAAAGCACAAGCAGGATAGAGGGCTGGTCTCAGGAGGGGCACTGAGGATTCCTCACCTCTCTGTGGGCTTGCCTGCCACCAGCACCTTCTGCGAAGACATGACAATCGAGGGTGGCATGGCTTCCCGGCGGCCATCGCGAGTACAGTAGTAATTGTTGGAGAGTTTGTGGCTGGGGCCCACGGGGAGCTTGGGAGGAGGCTGAGTTCTGAAAAGAAAAACCATGGGCACTGAAGCAAAGTGACAATTGTTCTCTCCGCACGGCTGGGTTGCAGCATGGGCCCATCACCTCAGTCACAAGGCCTGGCGTGGGCAGCCACTGGGATGTGCTGGGGGCCAGGGGCATCCCTTGATACACTGCCGGTGGCACAGGCCTGGGGAAGGACCAGGGCCCAGAAGCTGGTGGAAGCCCCGGCACTGGATGTGAAGGTGCTGGGAGGCGAGGCGTGGGTCTGCCCCACCATCGATCCCACATCTGCCCCAGAAGTGGAAGGCAGAGAAGCCTTTTGTGAGGGAGGCCTGTTCCCACACCTGAGCTTGGCCAGAGCTTGGCAGCAGGCTTAGTTTCCACCTGCAGGTTCTCAGGAAATGAAAAGACTCTGCCCGCTACCTATCAACAAGGCATGGTCAGCAAACCAACACTGGGTCAACAGCCCCAGACTCAGCTCATTCTGAGGGGCCTTGTCCCCAAGGGCCAGCCTGTAGAACCTCTGGGCTTCCAGTTCTTTCAGCTCTCTGAAGAACTCTACAGAAGTGAAAGGAATTCTCCAGGCAAGACACTGAAGTGGGTAAAACCAAACCTGGGTCTCCTGAATGGCAGGCAGATTCTTTAACATCTGAGCCACCAGGGAAGCCCAGGGGATCAGGGCTTATTACTCAGAGCAATGTGTCCTGAGGTTTCTGCTGCCACCTTGTGGCTGCTGCCCCCAGAGGAAGGGTGAACAGAGCTCTTTCCTCATTTGGGTTAAAGAAATACACAAGGCCTGAAAAGGAATCTCTAACCTCACTAACAAAAGACGTTAACAAGAAAACAAAAGTCACTAACAAAAGATGAGCTTTCCTAGAAACTGCTGCCGAGAAGGAGGGCAGAAAAGAAAGAAAAATCATAAAAGGATGAGGTTTTCATTCACTGGGGTTTTACCAACTTTTTTCTGAAAACCCCAGTATTGAAGTTTTTCTTAAAACAAGTGATAGTTATGTATCAAGTGGGAAAAAAACAAAGTTTAAAAACTTAATATTAAAGGACTTCCTTGGTGGTCCAGTGGCTAAGACTCCTTGCTCCCAATGCAGGGGCCCAGGTTCAATCCCTGATCGAGAACTAGATCCCACACTCTGCAACCAAAGATCCTGCATGCCGCAACAAAGACCTGGTGAGGCCAAATAAATATTTAAAAGAAAAAAAAAGAAACAACATCCTGTGTTAAAGTTAGAGTCTGCCAAATGCCTACAGTGCAAAGAAGACCCTCTGCTGGGCACCAATCTATAGAAAACAAGCACGAGCAGTGTGCTCAGTCATGTCTGACTCGTCAGGACCCCATGGACTGCAGCCCACCAGGCTCCTCTGTCCACGGAATTTTCCAGGTAAGAATATTAGAACAGGTTACCATTTCCTTCTCCGGGGATCTTCCTGACCCAAGAATGGAACCCGAGTCTCCTACATCTCCTGCAATGGCAGGCAGATTCTTTACCGTTGAGCTACCGGGGAAGCCCCAGAAAATAAGTACAGAAAGAGTAAGAAGAACCGAGACCAACTGAAAAGGCCCAGAGGAATCACCAGGGGGCGCCACTGTCCTTTAAAAAAGTTGAAAATTTTACAAAACTGTTTCCTCAACTGGGCCACCAACTACCTAGGATGCAAAAGTACTTTAAAACTTTTGATATCTGGAATCAGTCACAACATAGAGATATTCACATAGATGTGGTTATTTTAATGCTATTGTTCTTCCTTTCCTGCTAATAGTCCCTGGCTGCCTTACCTTTGCCTGCAGCATACACACACACACACATATATACCACTATTCCCCATTCTGCAAAGTGTTTCAGCCACACTAGTCTTCCTCCTATGTCTGGCTCTGTCAGGCTGCACAGCCTTGGCACTTACTACTCCCTCTGTCTGGAATGATCCTTTGGCATTTCAGCTGACTCCAAAGCCAATCCCTGAGACCTTTCCTGATCACTTAACCTGAGGTAGCCACTCGCCATCTGGTTCATTTTGTTTTCTCTTCAGAGCATTCTAAAACAGTGTTTTTTACTTGCTGTGTTTATTTCCCTGGCTTAAAGCTCAACATTCAGAAAACTAAGATCATGGCATCTGGTCCCATCACCTCATGGGAAATAGATGGGGAAACAGTGGAAACAGTGTCAGACTTTATTTTGGGGGGCTCCAAAATCACTGCAGATCGTGATTGCAGCCATGAAATTAAAAGATGCTTACTCCTTGGAAGGAAAGTTATGACCAACCTAGAAAGCATATTTAGAAGCAGAGACATTACTTTGCCAACAAAAGTCTGTCTGGTCAAGGCTACGGTCTTTCCAATAGTCATGTATGGATGTGAGAGTTGGACGGTGAAGAAAGCTGAGCGCCGAAGAATTGATGCTTTTGAACTGTAGTGCTGGAGAAGACTCTTGGAGAGTCCCTTGGACTGCAAGAAGATCCAAACAGTCCATCCTGAAGGAGATCAGTCCTGGGTGTTCACTGGAAGGACTGATGCTGAAGCTGAAACTCCAATACTTTGGCCACCTCATGCGAAGAGTTGACTCATTGGAAAAGACCCTAATGCTGGGAAGGATTGGGGGCAGGAGGAGAAGGGGATGACAGAGGATGAGATGGCTGGATGGCATCACCGACTCGATGGACACGGGTTTGGGTAGACTCCAGGAGGTGATGGACAGGGAGGCCTGGCATGCTGCGATTCATGGGGTCGCAAAGAGTTGGACACGACTGAACTGAACTGAATGTTATGTCTCTACTTCCTCCCTCGGATATAAGCTCCAAGAAAGGAATGAGAAGAACTTTTCTCTTCCCCTGGGATTCCCAAGGGCTGAGGACAGAGCCCGGGCTTGTAAATGTCAACTAATTTTCCGACTCAAGTTAGAAATCAAAGACACTTCTGGGTTCAAATCCCGGCTGTCAATTTCTGGCTTCTGAGTCATTTTAAGCAAATGATTTAGTTTCTCTGAGCCTCAAATATTTTCATACATAGCTTGGGGATGACAATACTGTCAGGACCACACTGCTGGCTGCAAATCACGGAAAATTCCCACTCAGAATTCACGCCCCATCTGGTTGTTGCATTAGAATCACAATGTCTGAGACAGTGCAGCAAGATGAAAGACAGACCTCTGTCTTCACAGCCAGCTAAGGGACTGGAGGCAGGATTTCGGCCCAGTGTTTCAGGGGTCTAAAAGAACAGGGATTTTTTTTTTTTTTTTTTCTGATAGACGGAGGGCAGGATCGGAGTTTGGGCAGGGAGCGGGGTTTGCTCACCGTTTGGAGATCTCCTGGTAGCGCAGCTGCAGTTTCGCCTGCAAGTCTCGCTGTAGGAGAAAGGATGGAGGTCAGTCCCCAGGGCATCCCCAAAGAGAAAACCAGCTAAGGGGCAGTCCCGCACAGGACAAATTAAGAGAAAGGTGGGAGATGGGTCTTTGAAGACAGGATACGGGCCCTGGAAGTGAACAGCGGAGCTGAGGGCTGGAACAAGATCCTAAAGCTAAGAAGGTACGGGCCTAGGGAGACCCCAGGCCTGAGTGGTACCACAGCCAAGGGCTGGGGAAGGTGTCCTGGGTTGAAGGGGTCACGAGTTCGGGGTTCTGAGCTGAGGAGAATTCCCTGCTTAGGGGAATCTCGGCACTAATGGCCTCAGCCCCAGAGATGCAAGAAGCAGGTGAGTAGTGGGAGCGGGTCAGGGTGCACAGCCCCTTCCCGCCCCGCCCCGCGCACCCCAGATGCCCAGTTCCGCAGCCGCTGGATGAAACGGGTAGCGGACGCCATCTTTTCACCGGCGCTGAAGGGCGCCGGTGACGTTTCTACTGCAGGGACTGCTGGGAACATGGCGTAGGGTCTCGCGAGAGCGGGAATGGGCGGGGCTAGGGAGTCCTATAAATACTCTCTCCGAAACACGTGACTCCTCTCCCCCCGACCGCCGCCGCGCCGCCATCATGGACACGAGCCGTGTGCAGCCCATCAAGCTTGCCAGGGTGAGGCTGAGGCACGGTTTTGAGGGCCCAGATGAGGGAGGATGGAGTAAGGGAACCGGTGGGCTAGATCTGATCCCAACTTCTTTCCCCCAGGTCACCAAGGTGTTGGGCAGGACCGGTTCGCAGGGACAGTGCACGCAGGTGAGCGGGGAAGGCGGGGAGTGGGGGATGTTTGCGGGGGGGCTTCTAAAATCTGAATCTCGAAGATAATTTCTGTGCCCTGGGTATTGTTCCCTGCTATCTGGGAACCAATAAGCTCCCTATTTCCCAGAGCTTACAGAGGGTCGAGGGTCGGAACTTTAGCCAAGGCCCTGCCCACCGGATCTGGGCTCTGTCGATCTCATTCCCCGAGTTCTGACATAGTTCGTTGTCCTGGTTCAGGCTCTGCCAACGACCACTGTGGCTCCATGCCCTCACAACCCCCAGTTGTCTCCCCTGGTGGCATCTTCTGGCGCTCGAGAGCTTTGTTCTCCACGCCTCGGCCCCTCTCCGGCTTGTCTCCTATCCTAGTCATGCTTTCCCAGCCTTAGGCGCTTTTAAGTGTCTCTAGGCAGAAACGTTCTCTGGATCGACATCAGCCGCTTATCCCACGGATCCTATTCTCAACCGACTCTGACTTCTTTCCATCCCTCCTGTGGGCCCCGTAGGTGCGCGTAGAATTCATGGACGATACCAGCCGCTCCATCATCCGAAACGTGAAAGGCCCCGTGCGCGAGGGCGACGTGCTCACCCTGTTGGAGTCAGAGCGAGAGGCTCGGAGGCTGCGCTGAGTTTGTGACTGGTGAGTGCACAAATGAAGTGGGAAATAGAGCATCTCCTTCTTAGACCCTTGCCTAGGGGTAGGGAGATTTTGCCAAGACCGTGGATCAAGGGTTCTTGCTCGGGGTCTGCTGAAGTTAGCAAGATGGGGGAGGGAGTTTCCCTGTTTGGGGTGGGGACACCTTTCAGCATCTCAACGCTTGGGTTTGTTTACAGGGTGCTGGATGTCTGGGTTGACGCCGTAGCCCACAAGGATGATCTGCTGTTAATAAAGCGTTTATATCGTATGTAAACTTGAGGTTTTGTCTGGGTTGTCATTAGATTTCCAAAGTTCTTCTGTGGGGCCCCCAGGTGGTCACTGACCCACTGTACTCTGGAAGTAGGGGGTGTTCCCCAACAAGGTATTTTCTTTGTGAGGAGGGAGAACCATGTGTTTATGTACACCTCCAAAACAGGACAAGATGAGTTAGGAAGGTTTTATTAGGGAAGAAAGCTAGAGGAGTGGGTAGACTAGGGGCTGCGTCACTCCCTCAGCTGCATGCTCACCCTTTGCAGTTCAAGCTGAGCCTCTGGCTACAGACCTCTGCCCAGGGATCAGGAACCCCCACCCCCCATCTGGGTCCAGTGTGCTAGGCCAGTCACAGGGGCAGGGTGTCCTCTCCACTGTCACCGCAGCCTCCTTCATCAAGCGTGGCCGTGGATGAATCGGGGGATAGCTGGTGAGAGAGGTTGGGGCGGGGAGTCCTGTCAGTCTCCTGCAGACAGGACACTCGGTTTTAGCCCCCCTTAACATTCAGAGATGCTTAAACTACTGGAGGTCTCCAACTTGCACAGCAGAGCCAGGCTGCCAGGATTTGAGTGCAGTCTCTGTCCCATCTGACCTGGAAGAGGCACTTGACCTCTGTGGTTTTTTCGCCACACATGTACAGGAGAGTGCAGGAAGGGGAGGCTGGCAGGGCAAGTTTAATTAGGAAACTTTCGTGTATAAGCCCCTCCCCCTTGGGGACAGACTGAATCCTCTTGCCCTGCTCCCTAACTCCAAAGCGAAAGTGTTAGTCGCTTGCTCCCTCAGTCATCTCCAGCTCTCTGCAACCCCATTGACTGTAGCCTGCCAGGCTTTTTTTTTTTTTTTTTTGTCTATGGGATCTCCAGGCAAGAGGACTAGCTCCAAAAGATGCTTTTTATTCCTTTGCTCTGGGCCTGTAATGGGAGTCAACAGACATGATAGTCTGAGCTATGTCTAACAGCTCTTGTCTGACCTTAGGGTGAGCCCCTCTTGAGGCCTCAGTCTCATGACCTTCACTTTACATGTGAAGGTGTGTCTAACCCTGGGGGTGTTCTGAAGGTTGAACATCAGGCCCAGGTTCCCGCCACCCGGTGCTCCCTAGCGGGTGCACAGAGAACCACTTTCCTGGGGTCACACTTGATCTCCTTGAGCTGTGCAGCTGGGCAACTCCCTTTCTGCAGGATGAGGTCACACTCACCTGGGGGCCGGGCTGGCCTGAACTCAGGTGGGTGTGCAGCAGAGCGGCCACCTCGTCCTGCTCAGCCTCCAGGGCAATGGCCAGGGCACTGGTGCCCTCCTGAGGGATCATAGAGACAGTCAGGTCCCTGAATCAAGGCACCACTACCCCACACCAGCCCCACGGTGGCTCACGTTGTCCAGGAGGGCAGGGTCGCAGCCTGGCTGGGCCAGAAGCAACCGCACAGTGTCCAGGCGCCCATACTCGCTGGCGCACATCAGCGCCGTGGCCCCATCTGCATCTTGCACATTCACGTCCGCCCCGCACGCCAGCAGGGCAGCTACCATGTCCTGACGGCCGTGGCTGATGGCCAGCATGAGGGCTGTCTGTCCCGTCTGGGAAGAGGGAAAGGAGGGGACAGGGCTGGTGTGGGCTCTGCAGAAAAGGGAGGAGGGTCCCAGACACCTGGTTCGGAAAGTGAAAGTGTCCCCTGGACTCAGCCAGGGAGGAGGCATCTATGCACCTGGCTGGCCTTGGCGTTAACGTTGCCCATGTGGAAGAGTCTCTGGACCACAGCCATGTCCTCCTCTCGCCCTACAGAGGTGAGTGCCGCCAACATGAGGGCGGAGTAGCCAGCTCGATTCTGGTGGTCAATCTTGCAGACCCCTGGGAGACAGAAGAGGGCTCAGTTCAAAAAGCCGACACTTCTTGGTCCACTCACTTCCCTCCAAGCATCAAGTTCACCATCTGTTTAGCAGCTTGGTCACTGAAGGTCATGCATGATTTTACTGTTCCTCTGCCTTACAAGGCTCTTCCCTCTCCAAGAGCCATGTGGCCCTGCTCTTACCTTCAGCGTTACGTTTCGATCTCACTGAAAGGTTTCCTCACCTCCCTATTACAGACTGGTTTGGAGACTTGGTTCTGTCTACCACTGTATCCCCCAGTACCTAGAGCAATATCTCCCACTAATCGTTCACTCAGTCGTGTCTGACTGCAGCATGCCATGCCTCCCTGTCCACTATGTTTTGGAGTTTGCCCAAGTTCATGTCCATTGAATTGGTGATGCCATCCAACCATCTCATCCTCTGTTGCCCTCTTCCACCTTCAATCTTTCCCAGCATCAGGGTCTTTTCCAATGAGTCAGCTCTTCACATCAGGTGGCCAGAATACTGGCGCTTCAGCTTCAGCATTAGTCCTTCCAATAAATATTCAAGGTTGATTTCCTTTAGGATTGACTCAATCTCCTTGCAGTCCAAGGGACTCTCAAGAGTCTTCAACACCAGTTGGAAAGCATCAATAAAAGGACTACTGCCCACAAAGCCACCATTGTTGTTCCCCCAGAGAACTGTCAGCTAGCCCCGCCCCTCGGTGTCCCAAGTTTACTCCAGTTTCCACGCAGCGGCCAGAACAGATCAAAGGGAATTTGGCCCCATCACTTATAGACATGAATTTGAGCAAACTCCAGGAGATAGAGGAGGGCAGAGGAGCCTGGCATGCTGCCATCTATGGGGTCACAAAGAATCAGACACAACTAAGCAACTGAACAATTCCATATGACTGGTATCCTCAGAAGAAACACAGAGATCTCCATGTGATGCTGAAGGCAGAGATAAGCTGCCATCAGAAACTAGGAGAAAGGCACGCAACAGTCACTCTGAGCCCCTAAGAATGAGCCAATCCTGTGAACTTAACGGCCTCCTGAACTGCAACACAATGAATTTGTTCTAAACCTCCCATGTTGTGGCACTTTGTGGTTCTTTGTCACAGCAGCCCTGGGAAACAGTTTGGTTGTTGCTGCCTGTTCTTGACAGGTGAACACAAATGTCAGCTCCGTTTCCTCTGGGGTCAGTTCTGTTGCCATCTTGGCCACCTCCCACACATCATAGCACCTACCTCTGGATCTCATTCCCCAGGGTGTTTAATGCTTGTGGACCCCACCATTCTGAAAGCTCAAGGCTAGGTGCAGTTTGGGGAGATGAATGGTGGGAGAGGAAGTTTGGGGAAAGGAAGGGATCAGGGTATTGGAGTAGATGTCCTAGTCAGAGGAGATCTGAAACAGTGGGCTGAGAAGTAAAAAGGTTAAGTCACTGGGCTTCCTTGGTGGTACAGTGGTTAAGACTCTGCGCTGCCAATGCAGGGGGCCTGAGGGTCCATCCCTGTTCAGGGAACTAGATCCCACTTGCTACAACTAAGATTTCGCATTCCACAACAAAGATCCTGCATGAGATAATCAAGACCTGGTACAAGCAAATAAATTTTTTTTAAAGGTGGGGTGGTTAAGTCAGGACTAAGGGCATTCCCCAGTTGTGTGGTCTAGGTGTCCATTCCTCCCACAAGCTTCTGTGACCCTGGTGGAGGATGTTAGGCGCAGAAGGGGCTCCAAGTAGCCACAGTGGCGGGACTGCAGCCCACCAGGCGCCCCACCTATCCTCCCCTGCTTCTCCCTTCTCTGAGGCCTTGCTAAGGAAGGATCCTAAGCTAAAGGATTACCCTATTTCTTGATTCCCTCCCCTGATTTTATCTTGTCATGGCCCTTACCTCTGTGGGAAATTATGTTTGATACTTATCAAGT